GAGTCCAGTACAGCTAGATGGTGCCCGGCTACCACCACTGACTGCTCTGACCAGGATCACAACAGAGGGTTCTGGACAGAGCTGGAGAAGAATGTAGAACAAAATTCTAACTCACAAAAAAAAAGACCAGATTTACTGGCCTAAAGGAGACTGGAGAAACCCCGAGAGTATGGCCCCCAGACACCCTTTTAGCTCAGTGGTGAAGACATCGCCGAGGTTCACCATTCAGCCTGGGAGTGGACAGCCCCATAAAACTAAATAGGACTAATGAGGTACAATAGTCCAGGGACAAGGGCCAGAAGGCAGAAGGGAACAAGGAAGCTGGTGATAGGGAACCCAAGGTTGAGTAACGATAGTGTTGATGTGTTGTGAGGTTGTTAACCATTGTCATAGCGCAACATGTGTACTAACTGTTAAATGAGAAACTATTTTGTTCTGTAAGCCTTCATCTTAAGTGAGAACAGCAGCACAATTGGAAGAGAATAGTCAATGTCACTGAACTGTGCATGTAGAAATTTTTGAAATGATGTATCTTTGGCTATGCATATTTTCACCAAAAAAAAAAAAAGGTCAAGAAGTTAGAGGGTTGACATGTTGTGGGGTTGTTAACCAATGTCATAAAACAATATGTGTACTACTGTTTCATGAGAAACTATTTGTTCTGTAAGCCTTCACCTGAAGTACAATAAAAAAAATTTAAAATAAATGAACATCAAGAGCAAATTCTAGGCAAGATACACTCTAAAAATCTTTCTCATTGCTTGAATTACACACACATAAAATATATTTCTGTTCTAGTCTGAAAACTACCATCTGCGTCTACTTATAATCCATGAATTAGGGGTGCTAAACACTTTATATGCCGCATCACTTATATAAAGCTATTACCATAAGATTTATTTAAACTATTAAAACTTTAATGAAGTTAAATTTATTCATTAAGTTATAATTAAGTAGAAAGACAAAAGGTAGCAGGATATATACATAACCAAGTTAATTTCAGAACTGGGAAATTGATGAAGAGTGGCAACTGACGCTAAATTCTAAAAGTTTCCATTTATCTAAAAGCTTCTTCATTTTATAGCCTATACTTTTTTCTTGAAAAACAATTTCCTGAGAACACACTGAAGTTTAGAAGATAGAAATGAACATTAGTAACTCTGTAATACAAATATCCTCCTTTGCATCCTCCCCCGTTCCTCTAGTGCCTAATACATTATCTTGTGGAGAGGTGGCGCTTGATAAGCGTCTTCACCTTTACTCATGGCAACACAGCACTTGCCATGAGGTGCTTTCCCATAACTCTGAGAATATAGATTTAATGTTGTCAAACCAAGACCTCTTCTGAGTTCAGCTGAATTCAACACTGCCTCTGAGACTTTGTACTGATTCCAGCATGACTGGTACCCTGTCTAGAACAAGAAAAGACTTCTCTCTGCCCCTTTTCATTCTTCAGTTCTTTAAGCAGCACAATGATAGGGAAAGTAGCACTGTGTATTTCTAATTTGTTAACAAAATTGCCATTGTACTGTGTCTAAAGGCACAATTGCAAAATATAGCAACACCTTGACTTCTAAAACTAATGTGTTTAAACCATACTTTTTTACTGAGTAAAGAGCTTTATTTTTCTTGGAGAAATTTACTTTTATATTCCAAATGTTTAGAGTTTCTTGATAATTTAAAGTCAAAATCACATATCAAAATATGCCTGAAGTGGTTGAGCACTTCGACTAGCTAGCTCTATTCCATGATACACCCAAACCGGATCAGCAGTAAATTAAGGGATAACCAACAACTCTTTTCTGTTTGTTTATATTAACTATGTAAACTATGAACTAGTTATGAACTGAAGTGTTAGCTGTTTCCCAGTCACAACTGCTAAAAAGGTATTACACTATTAAAATATACGCCCACCCTTATAAAAGCCTCAGTGTAATGATAGTTTTGTATAATTAGTTTTATGTCAAAAGATTTACAGCTTTATCACCTCAAGTAATATTTCACAGCTGCCAAGAATGATTTGTACAATAATCACTTAAACTGTAGAATAGAATTCTCAAAGGAAAGGCTGTCAAAGAGTCCTACTGCAGGTAACTTGGTTTTTAAAAATTGATATTCTGATAAACAACAAGGCCAATTGTATCTAGTAAAATCATGTAAAAGGAGCATGGTAGGAAACGTTGCTTCACAATGGTGATCATGCAGCTCACTGTGCACGGCATCAGTATGAACTCATTGCAAAGATCACGGACTGAAACTGCTTACAAAGCCTCTGAGCCCCTTTGAAAAACAAGCTTTTGGGAATAATGCCTTGCCCATACTTTTGCTACTCCAGTATGAGTGAATGGAAAAAATGGACACAGAACATCTCAACTTTTTGTTAATTTTCTCATTGTGCTTATTACATCACTCCTCATATTCCTATGAAATGCTAAATAAAGAATAAGTCAAGGAAGCATTTACTGTATTCACCTAAGAAACCAAGAACCTTTTAAAAATAAATGATCTCAATAATAAAGAACTAAGGAAACTCTGAGAAACAAACCAATGGAAACACTGATGATTGTTTTTGCCTTCTTGCTTTTTTAAATGTACAATGGCTAGCAAGTCTTTAACAGGCAAGACTTTCAAAGCATTTGAACTTCACAAGCTCTGACTGATTTTGCAGTTGCCATGTGAATAAAACCAATATACTCTGCTGAATCTATTCAAGGTAACTGTGCTAGTAGCAAAAGCACAAGTTTATTACATTCAAAGCAAATAAGTAAGACTGCATCTTCACAATCTAAAAATGTTGTTCAAATTAATATTCTTCATTGGAAAAAAAAAGAAAAAGCTTGGCCCATCACTTCATGTTTCCGATACCAATTGAAACTAAATAGACAGAGTTTGCCATTGACTCTAAAGGTATCCAAGTCCTTGTAGACTAAATCACATCTGAAAATGAAGCCAACAGAAATAAAATTGTCACCAAATGTAGATGTTTCTATATCTAAACAAACTTACATATAAGAATTCCTTGTCTGAAAATAGGGAAATTTTAATTTGTATAACCAAGCAAATCACTCAGAAAGGAAGATTTGTATTAGCCAATCCACTAGCATCTTCACTACAGATATTTTTATACTTATACTTGTGATTCTGTGTTAGGTGTTTTGAGATAATTTTACACACTCTTACAAGTTAACCAGCTTTTAAAACACCACCATTCCTCTTGCAGTGTAATAAATACAATTTCCATTTGAAAACACGGTCTGAAATATAGTTAGATCTATTTGATTTGGATCGTCTAGGATAAGAAGTTCAATTATGTGAGCTGAAAAAAAAAATCAAAATAGCCCCCCCAAAAAAATCACTAAACATGTACCAACATTTCCTGCAGTAACCACAACATAGGCTGTGTCAACATCATGTTAAAGATGCACATGCGGGAAAAAAATCTCACACATTCAAACTATTTCAAAAGTCTAGATTGTTGGCATCAGATATACAAAAGAGATGAGTTGCATGTGGGTAGTGAGAGCTTCCATCCAAGAAATGCTTTCAAGACAATGGACCAATTAGGCTATTTGTAGTATGCCAACACTATTGATTGAAAAGTGAAATAAAAAAAAAAAAACATTGAAAACAACTTTAAAAATCTCTATGTTATTTGATAATCATATAATCATTTTTATTCCAGATTAATCTAAAGATAGACAAAACTGTTTATTTCCAATCATACTTTCTTGCACATACACACTCAAGTTGATGTTAAAAGGAAAATCTAGTTTAAAGAATTGTACATTTTCTGTCATGAAACATTTAATTATAAGAAAATAAGAGGAAGAATTAAACATTTTCCCTGTGGAATTCTTCCTCTGTAGCTTACCAAATGATGAGTCATTATATGATCTAGGCTATAGCACATCACACATTTATAAAAACCTTAAGAGTTTTCAAAAATCAGGACAGATACCCCTCTGCCTCACTAATTTCTGTCAATCAAGGAGAAAGAAATAGATGATGCAATATCAACGAAATTAACTAAAGTGCATGTTTTTTTAATTCATTTACCTTTAAGCCCTAAATTGCCAAATGCCATTAAGTGTGCATATTTGACAATTTATATACCTTAAAATGGGTATATCTGAATATTTCATATGCACGAGTTTATGTATATAGTATATTTAGTGCATGCATGTCCATTAAATGTGTATTTTTTTGAAAACTGTTATAGTTCTAATATATTTATGCTCCCATAGCAAGCCTGAAAGATGAAAGAGTGCCCTTGAAGTTGAATTATAATCTTAAAGTTTGAGATCCCAGTTTTGCTGCGCTTTGCTGCAGCTGTAAAAGTGGATACTAATAACTGTATAGTTTCTTTTCTTCATTTCTTATTTTAGGACAAATCTTGAATTTATGAACAGCCTTTATTACTTGAATATACGTTAAGTTTATTGGATCAATTTCAGGAGTCCCTATATGTCATCCTCAATCTTGCATAAAAAGAAACAAAAGAAACAGAAGTGGTATCTATTGAGTAAAGGTGAGTATCCAAGTAACACTTATGATATAACTATAATAGTTTTAGTTTCAGACAATTTTCAACAAGACGTGCTTTGTGGAATATTTTCAAATTCCAGCAAATAGAACTCTTTGTACTTCTCTCCTAGCAAATACATATCAAAGCAAGCAGTACACTATTGGTCTTTATAGCATTCCTTAGAGAGGAGAGAAAGTACGACTGATTTGTGGCATTTTGTCTTCAGTGACATTAGGTTACTGCACTTTGTAAGAGTTCAGAGTACCCTTCTTCGAAGAAGAAATAGTTCCTTCTGGTCCACTAATGCAAGTATCCACACTGCTTGATTCCTAAAATACTATAGGCAAATTATACATCCACTATTTAAATAGTTGAGACTTCTCTACGTATGAACTTTTAGTAATCAGTTGTCAAAATTTCATTTCAGTGGAATCAAATAATCAAATACAAGGAATCCTAAATGGGTAAACTTTACCATTTTTGTGATAGTAGGTGACCTCCACTTTCCTCTCCTCTGACCCCAGCAATGCTTGGGCAATCTGGGCAATATCATGCCTCTTGGTCTCAGGCCCATGGAGAAAGTCGCAGGTGCAGGGCTTCTGCATGACATCTGGCCTGGAGAAACCAGTCATCTCACAGAACCCATCATTGCAGTAGATGATGGCACAGTTCTGCACTCTGGCATTTGCAATGATAAATTTTTTATCTGTAATAATAAAATAGTAAGATATCTTTTAAAAAGCTTCCATAAGAGTCTCATAAACACTGGAACAATTTATTGCATAATAACAAGGTTTGAAATGCAGGTGCTTCCTCAAATTGCTAACTACCCAGACCTTTAAAAGAAAAAGAAAAAAAAAAACCTGAAACTTGAAATTAATGGTCCTAATTGATTTTAACAAAAAATATTAAAGAACTACTCCCCAAATTATGAGAACATCATTTCCCAAACAGTTTAGTTTTCAAACCCTGTAACTCCCAGGGGTTCAAACACATACTCAGAACAAGAAGTTGGCCTTTGATATTTCCAGAATGCATTTAATTGGAAGGTAAATATTTTCAAAGCCAAAACAGTAAAACATTCTGTAGCTGTCAAATTTCTCACTTCAACCTCAGTCCTTAAAATACAACTTTCTCAAAGCAGCCATTATTCTCAGATTTGGTTTTTCCCTACCCCTGTAAGGCATACCACACACATCATGTTTTTTAAAAAAATATATTTTAGCTTTAGCAATGAAACAATTTCAAATTTACTAGCAGTTCGATAATACAAAGGTTAGCCTTTTTATAGTATATATTTTCCAGAAGATAAAAGTATTTACATCATACAGTATGTATCGTGTTAAAATCTTTTTATTTTTATTTTGAGAGAAACTTGAATCTTTGTATAGTGGCAGAAATTTTAATACATAAGATTTATTAATTTTGATCACATTGTATTTACTATTTCCAGATAAAATGTAAAGCAGAATATACAAGTTTATTTTGTACATAAGTTAACAGATCCTCACATCATTAAACACAATACCAAACAACTGCAAAATATACAACATAAACCTGTGTTACTGTAGTTTTAAGGATAAATATAGATTAGCAAGTATAGAATCTCAAACTAATATATTTCTATAACAAGGATAATTCATTCCACGTGAGAACATTACATTTCTCTGGTGGGATTTACTTATTACACTTCAATTTCTAAATTTCTAGATGGAAATTTTAAGAGGATAATAAAAGGACAGAAATAAATATTTTGAATAAGGAGCTGTTTGCATTGAGAACCAGCACGGACCAGCTACTGCTTTTCCAAATTATCCTGCTTGGCGTATATTTGCATTGATTTAATGCAAAGTTTAGCGTCTATAAACTAATAGCCAGCAAGCTTCCCTGTCATCCCATAGCCCTGCAGTTTAGTCAAGGTAAAATACAGTTTGCATAGCCATTTACATCGCTGCTACCGTCTACATTCTCTCGTTCCAGTAGTATGCTTTGCCCTGCTCCTGACTTAGAAAAAGTCTAAATAAAACAACCTCTAAACGTAAACCCATGTTATCCTGGCACGTTCCCTTTAAGATAGTAGAATAGTAGGACATTAAGTAGCAAAGCAGATAATGGAACCGTGGGAGAGGAGGGATCAAATTGCCTGCTATAACGGAGACCATAATCTAAAATGTAAATCAAAATTAACATCGGGGGAGAACACTCCCGCTGCCATTCGAACCTTCTGGCTCGGTTTCACAATGTTTAACTTGACAGAGCCTGGAGTTGCCTGTCTCCACTGCTTGTAAGCGGCGGACGCCAAGCGCACTATCAAAGCAGAAAGCGAGGGAGAGAGAAGAGAACGAATAAACTTACTTTGCCCTTCAAATTTCCGTATGATGGTCCCCAAAAATGTGTTTTGTGGTGCCACATGCCCCCTGCGAACAGGCATGTTGACCCCGGTCTTCTGAGGAGCGCTCCCCCCGAGCTCCGGAGTTCTCCCGGGATCTCTCCTCGGCTAGAGCCCAGGCCAGCGCGCGAGCCGCTCTTTGTGGCAGAGCATCCTCTTTTGAAACCAGAAATCTCTTCCCATTAGCACCACTTTCCTAGACACCCGCTTTCCCCACCGGAGTCCAATCCATTCCCCTCACCTTCGGGAGGGGGCCTTGCACCGGACTGCCGCGGGTGAGAGGGTTTGGGGGTGGGGAGAGGGAAGGAGGCGGGATGAGGGGAGGTGGCGGGGGAGGGAGGAAAGGAGGGAGTGGTGGGGGGGGGGGGGGGAGGGGGGGGCGGGGAGTCACAAGGGCAATCGATCTGTTTCTCTCCTCCCAAACAGCGCCAATTTCCCGGTGCAAATGGGCTTAACCTGGCGGTTGCCCAGAGCTATGAGAATGGTTGGGGGGATGGAAGACTTGTGAAGCTTTTGCAGGAAGGGCAGGAAGAAAAGAAAGCGGGGGCGGGGGGGTTGACGTTTCTGTCCCCGCCCTCTCCCCCCCCCACACATATATACACACACACACACACACACACACACACACACACGCACACGCGCGCGCGCGCGCGCGCACACACACACACACACACACACACACACACCCTCCCTTTATCCCGGGAGGTTGGGCTCCGCCACAGCTTGGATTACTCAAGCGTGCTTTAGCGGAAGCCAGCCAAGAAATCTCCAAAACTCAGTGACAAACAGCTACTCTGGGAAGGTGATCTCCCCGGCCCCCAGCCACAGAGCCCGTCTCTGAGCTCCTCACGCCGCAGTAGCTAAGACACTCTTAGCTGCAAATAAAGGACAGGTGGGAAAACAGCCCCCCCCCCCCATGAGGTGGCGCTCAGGAGGTTGTGAGGATTGAGGATGAGCCACACATAACGGTGAAGATTTAGCCTCAGGATGCAGCCCGGATCCCTGGCCTTGCAGGGGTGGGTACTGAAGTCGGGACTGAACTGACACGCCCGATCCTGCCAGAGCCGAGCGGCGCCTTGGAAAGACTGAAGACTGCCGGCGCCGCTGAGCATGCCTGGTTTCAGTGCCCAAGCCACTGAGTTAAAGCTTTGGGATGACTGGGTCTCCAGGTGTTGGAGGCTGCGAGAGTAAGAGGAGAAGGCCAAAGACTGTACGAGAGACCGATAGGAAGCAAGCGTAGACTTCGAAACCGGAGAGGCTGGGAGCGAAGGGAAAGGAACAACAAAAAAAAAAAGGTGGGTGGGGCTCAGAGTTACCAGCCTTGGTGTGACCTCCCGCGCCACTCTTCCTGGACACACTAGGCACACCAGTCCGCTCTCTTCCACCATCTCTAAGGCATCATCTTCTTTAGGATAGGGAAGGGCTCAAGGGGCAGAATAGTGTCCTCTTAGGTCTTGCTTTTCAGTCTCCAAACTTGGTAATCACATGGTGTACACTTCTGTCCAAATAGTCCTTCTGGGGACTTAGGAAATCAAATGTGACTAAGCCATGTGCGGAGAGAGTGTTTTCTAAGTTATTTCTCTAGTTTTTTTTTTTCTTTTTTCTTGTTTTTCTTCCTTTCATTTATTATCTCCTCCTTGAACCTAATGGTCTGTCACATTCCCTACTCCTTTCTCTAAATGGAATTTGCCACCACCACAACCTACAGAAGTAGTACATGGACAAGACTCTTATTTCCAGCTGGCAATACGGATCCAGAGATCCTACTTAAACCATGTAATTGCATGATAGAGTTTTGGGGGTTCTTGTTGCCCATTATCCTGCTTTGCCTGTGCCTTGAATCAGCATGTTCATATTTTCTCAGTTACAGCCTCAAATCTTTATTGCGAAAATGAAGGTAGGACTTAGGAGGGGGGATAGAAAGGGTTAGATTAGGAAGGTGAATCATGTGGATTACTATAAATGAGGAAATAAACAACTTTTCTTTCACTATCCAGAAAACCCAAACAAACAACAACAACAAAATCCAAACAAAAGCCTAAGCAATTCTTACTCTTCCACGTAAGAGTAATGAAAATAGTCAGAAACGCAAGACATTGCCTAGGAATTTTGAATTTTCTGGTCAATTAGCTGTACTTTATAAAAAAGCAATCTGTGACAGTCCCCAGTCTCTTATGGTAGGTTGAGCTTCCTGAATCTGTACGGTTTCCTCTCTCGTAGTATAAAATGCCACGCTCCTCCAAAGCACCGCTGTATTTTTTCCCTGTCTTCTTTATAAGTAGATCATTCTGTCATTCTGTTCGCTAGCTGCAGCTGGGCTTGCAAGACGACGGAGTTCCTTTTCCAGGTGCTGAATGCTTGGAGCTATCCATGGTGCTGACTCTGACTCTGCCGTTTGTAACTGCTCTCTGTCTACATTCAGCCACAGACAATAGAACTGTAAACTCAGGCAAGTAGACCTGAGGTATTCACATACACCAGTTGTCTTCACCGGACACCCACAGAAACACAGATCCATATTTGCACCCCATTTCAACAACAGTTTCCTTTGCCACTTAGCGTCTGAACTAAATCCAAGCTCATCTCCCTCACCAAATATATCAAGGATTCCAGAGAAAACTGAACAAACTGCGTATAGAAACCAACCCAAACCCACTGCAGTCAAGTCGTTGTAATTAAGGTTTCATATACACTATAAAAGCATATTTATACAACAGTAAGCTATGGCAAGGTCAGATGGCTGCTATTTATTTTTGCCTTTTTAATTGCAAGCAAACTCAGTGAATGGATACTACATATAAATAAGAGTTTCCAAATACAGTTTGATACATAATATCTATCTGTCATATGACAAGATGTATTGACATGCAGAAGGTAACAGTGCATACAATCTTCAGTTATGAGTCTGATACTCTCACAGGCTATTGAGTTCAGAAACCTTTGAATTTCACTTTCCTTTTTCAAGCGGAAAAGTAGCTTGTTTCTTGAGATATTTTCTCATTCTGTACAACCTTCACAGTGGTCTCTGTTTGCTTTGGTTAATTACACACAGTATGGTTAAAGTTCCATTGTCTGTGTTACATATGGGAAGGCTCTGTGGGCTTCACATTTTCTTAACTTCATTAGGTTCTAAGATTAGTTCTATTAAGGATTCAGTGTAATATCATAGGATATTCTATAACCTATGTATTGTAATTGATTGATCTGAGCAGAAGATTAAAGTCATCCTGTTTCTAAATTGCCCCAGTAATCGTGTTCATGCATTATACATTGGTGCAGTGTAGACAAGTACATCAATCTATATTCAGCCGATAATAGAATCAAACCAGAGGGGGGTAATCATGACTGCTTGCTGCCTGGAAAATTACCCTCCCCCCACCATCATACCCACCCTCTAAAAACATGAAGTTCAGATTTTGTGTTGAGGCCAGGTTTTATAAGTTTTTAGAATTTTTGGACTTTTTTGTAGGCCAAATATTGAACAAAGAATAATTTAAATATTGAATTCTTATCAAGTGTACAGTTTAATATCTAGTACAAACTACTTACAGTCAAGGATACAGTACAGATTCAGGTATCTTCCTTAAATTACTTAATTATCCATGTTAGTCTACAAAAACAAGTTATTTAGTATTAAAAGTATGTAGGAGAATTTTGAACAATTCATAGCACATAGTAAGTACTCAATATGTTTTATACATACAAAATTCTGTATACATGCTCACAGAACTAATGGGAGCTTGCTTAAAAACTCTACATTAGAAATTATTCAAGTCTCATACATTATTGCATGAACCTTTAAGGAAATAGTAGCAAACATTAAGGACTCTTAAAGTGGCATTCTTATATTGACAGAGAAGGAATCTTTTTTAAGATCAAATAAGCAATGTGATTTATTTCACATTTTTGAAATGATGTAGAATATAAATTAATGACATTAATGTGAAATTTTATCAATTTAGCAAAATTAATTTAATGATCTGATGACCATAATGAAGCACTACAAAGGCTATTTTAATGTGGTTCTCTATAGGGATTCTGGATTTTATCCTACTAACTGGGTCAGGTTTAACCTAGGAAACATCTGACTTTATAGTTACAAGTTAGGTAGATTTTGGCTTGTATTATGATATGTAGCTCTAGAATTTCATGAGAGGCAGAACTTTTGAGGTCATCTATTAAAACACATATTTCCGAGCTGAAAGGACTAGTGGAAAAAGGAGAGAAAAAAAATTGGGTTCTAATTTGAAATTGTCATTTATAGCAGAAACTAATGAAAAAATAGTTAAGTTGTTTTGTCCATAGCTTCACTTCTAAAACCAGTACAATAATCTCCAACTTTCAATTTTGTAGTAAGAATAATTTGGAAAATGGATATATAGTGCTTAGCATAAAGTCTGGTAAGCAGTGAATATTTAAACAATAGCTTCACTACAACTTAAATACTCTATATTTTTAAATTATTAACATTAACATTATTATGTAGGATTTAACCAATTTAGATTAAGATTATGCTACAGAGGTGTGTGTGAGTATGTGTGTGTGTGAGAGAGAGATACAGGATGGAGTGGATGAATCATACTCTTTCAAGTGATTTGGATTAATACTAGTGACAGTTTCTAATATATAAATATAAGCATGTCCAATTAGAAAACTGAATATTCCTTCAGAAAATCTAGATACTTTTCTGATAACATACATTATGTAAATTTTAATCCAAATGCTTATTATTCACTTCACCTCAGATACTTCTGTGGTAACATATTTTACACGTAAGTTTTTATCCAAATAGTTATTATTTGGCTGATCTCATTGATTATGTGTGAAACTTACTGTAAGAATGAGGTTTTCTCAGGGAGGAATAAGGTGTTTGTACTCCCTTCCCTAAAACATGCCACCTCTTCCTGTAGAAAAAATTATGTGTATTGTTACTACATTCATCAACATTCATCAGCTAGTAGCCTGATTGAGCTCCTATTATTTATGAACAAATACACTTAGAAATATAAATTTGTTAAAATAGACACATATATATATCTAGGTGAAGATTTGATAGGGTGCAATGATAAGATTGTTTTAGGAGATGACTTCTTTACTCAATTTAATAAATAATTTAGCACATGAGTCAAAAAATGAGCCAATTGCTACATATTATAACTTTTTTGAAAGCTAAGGTAGTGTACAAAACTTCTTTTATAACAGTAGACTTTAAATTTATTTCTTAGTTGATATATTCAAACCAATTGTTTCTTGGTTAACACATTGTTGTCACT